TATAATTATCCCTCTTAATTTACTTCCTTCCAAAGAAAATAAAAAATCTCCCCCTCTATTCAGTTTAAGCTTGGATGGACTTGCTTTATTATAAGTAGGAAAATTTAATTCCTCAATGAAGATTAATTTTTTTTTTTTTCTCTTATGTGATCAGAACAAAAAATCCTTCCTTGGTCCAGATAATCAGACCTATACATACATATATACATACACACACAAAAAAGTATCCGGGTTTAGCACCTGACTTTTACATATGTAAAGCAGTAGTGTTTGGTGAGGAAATGATTGGATTGAAAACTTGTGGGGTTTAGCTTTAGTAGCTAGTTAGTAGGCCCTTCTTGTCATGGCAACTGCTTGTTAGAGGATGGTCACAAATTTTTTTCCCCCCAATAGAAAAGGAATTCTGGTAAAGATTTCTGAAGCATTGGATATATGTCTTTTAAAAAAACAAAAAACAAAATCGCATTCCAAATAGAAAAAACAAACATTAATTCATACACGACAGAACACAACATGCATTTAGCGACTCAATTCCGATAATAAATTAAAATCTCTGATAAATATGACTGAAACACTTAAAGAGTGGATATATGCCTCTAACCTTTAATAAAAAATCTTTTCTTATATACACCCAACAGTGTAACCAACCATATTACTCTGCATTTGTAATTATTTAATATCAATGCCGGGAAAAAAAAATACCACCTTTATAACACGTAAGTGCTTTATATCAAAACTAATGCAATAGAACTGAGTTGGACTGAAAAGTGGAAAAAAAATTAAAGGCCGTTTAGCCTCCTAATACATTAAAGAGGGAAAATTATAGAGTATTAATGTTGCTCATCACTAACAGTAAATATTGCAATTGACTTTTGTTTAAGCATTTATAGAGGTTAATTGTGGAACCTTATTACATATTTACTGCACACGTACACGATTTTACATGACATAAAAACTAGAAAATTTCGATGGATGAATAGTAATTGGGAATAGTGAGGAAGGTATATTAAGGCTTTGTTCATTTCGCTGATTCGAGTTTTGCTACAGTAAAAAGCTCTCACAAACAATCACATCTAACTTTTTTGCTACAGTAAAAAACTCTCACATAAAATCACATCTCAACTCGAATTAAAAACTCGAATCAGCGAAATGAACGGGGCCAGTCTTTTTTTATTTGGTTATAACCAGCTAAATTAGAAAGTTATTAGATATTTCCACGCTTTACACGATTTTACATTAAAAAAAAAGGAAAAATTAGATAATTGGGGACATACATTTTAATGTGGAAGACTAAAAAAGTGATTCTTATATATATTAAGTTTTTTTTTTCTTTAAGCTTAAATTAGAAGAATAAGAGGAAAAAAAAAATGAAACAAGTAAAAAAAGCACAATAATTACGTAACAGTAAAGTTGTTTTTTTCTGCACCAAGTTCGATAATCCATACTCCGGCATTTGTTTATGCGGCATTAACTATGTGATACTATGACTGAAAATTGGACTCGTTCTTTAAAGTAAAATTAAGTTAATCAAGTTCTTTTCGTTTCAATTAGTAGATCCTAAAACTTCTAATTAAGGTGACAAAGATGATGGGAGATGATATGGCATGAATCACAACAATCTTAAACCGGACATAAATGATTTGATTATTCCAAACCCAATATATATATATATATATATATGTTTAGGAAATCTAACGCCAAGGGCTAGTACCTTAACACTAGATTTCTTTTCCAGAAATACCTTGTATCTAACAGAACACAAGGGGATGATTCAATAGAAGGTCAGGTAGGTATCAAAACAAGTTGAAAAGGACATCTAATCTAATATTTATGCACATATAAACATAACACTATATAAGCATATATATATATATACACATATACATCTATATATATACGTATATACATACAATTTTCTTCATTTGCTTAGCATCGCGGATAGAAAGTTAATTAATGACTCAGGTCTACGTACAAAAAGCTTCATGAGCTTCCTCTTTTCTTTTCTTTTTTTTCATGAACTTTGTATAGCTTACAATTTCTTACAATTAGAAGGGTACTGTTTCTAGTAGGTCATTCTATCGGTAGGATCAGTTTTTAAACCGTTAAATTTAGTTAAAATCAAATGAGATTAAAAAAATATATAGAACAGACAGTTTCTAATACAGATCTGACAGGCGGAAAGCAGCTAAAAAAATAGAACTACCAGTAGTTCTATTTTTCTAGTCCTACGGGAGAAACTCCCCAATTAGGAGATGTTGGCTTTTTTTTTTTTTTTCTTTGTAACTAAAATAAAGGCCGTCCTACCGGTATGATCAGTTTTCTGACCGTTAGATCTTGTCAAAATCAAATGAGATTGAAAAAATATGCAAAACAGACAATTTTTTATACATATTTAACGATTAAAAATAGATAAAAAAAATAAAATTACCGTTCGTTTCATTTTTCTGATCTTACGGGTGAAACCCTTTAAAATAAAATGGTGTGATATTCTTAGAGATAGTATTTCCCAAATATGGTATGCGGAAACCTGTCATTAAGAGGCCAATTGATGACATGGTCAGTGAATTTTTGTCAAGTCAATAATGCTAAGACTCCATAAGTGGAAAACATTTACCTGCCCATGTGGATGTGTTCTTCTCTACATTGCATATTTCTTGTGTGGTTTATGGCCCTTTAACTTGTCTTTTCATGACATATATTATTTGGAGTGTTTAACTTATAGTAAATTACATAAATTATTATCTCAAGGGCAAAAGGGGAAACAAAAAAGAAAAACAAAAGAAATAAGCAGGGGTATTAATTTGAGATTGGTATGGACAGTGGCTATGTTTGCTACACTCCACGATCTAAGAATATTGTAGTACACTTCGTCGCTAATTGTGCTTTATCTGCTTTGTTAATTCTATTTGGAATGTTTTTATTCCGACTTTTAGACCTATTGTAAGAACTAATTTAAAAGGTTCCTTAATAAAGTTGAATGCAATTTACCTAAAAAGAAAGAAAAAGAAAAGAGAGAGAGGTTTATGATTTATGTAAACCAAGTCAAACTAAAATGATCCTCCTTTCAAAAAAAAAAAAAAAAAATGATCCTTAAAACTAAACCATTGTGCATTTGGGAATTTTTTTTTTTTAAATGCTCTTGTTTATTTCATGAAATAAAAAAAGTTAAAATGAAACGACAATAAAAAAACCAATGAAATAAAGTATAATAAAGTTATTACCATCTAGTTGAATCCTAATACAAAGTTGAATTGAGGTGAAAAAACAACCGACTGATCACTTAAAAACACGACAATTTTTCTAATTGATTGAGTAATAAATGGTGAGGTGGGGTGCATAACAACCTCTACACTCAAACCAATAAAAATAAATTATGAGGTACATTTTCAGAAGTATTCATAAATATAATTAAGCTTTTACAATTACAAATATGTTCGGTTTGATTTAATTTGGTCTCCACGGTTTGACACATAATTAACTAAAAACCGCAAATGCATGATATCAAAAGTACAATTTTGTGGCAAAAAATCAATTCAAATCAAACCAAATAATTAAGTTTTATTTGAACAGTTTAAAATGAAAACCATCACACATGGTGATGAGTAACTGAAATTAATTAAGGTCGACAGGTTCGTATCAAGACTATGAAGTTAACGTTTCACACGAAATTATATATTATGACTTGGATTGAAAAAATAAAAATAAAAAATAGGACTATTTTGTTAATTTTCAACTTGAATTCCTACAACCCCTTCTCTTAATGTTGGGGGATTTATTCCCTTTCTGTAACATAAAATATTAATATTATTCCAACTAAATTTGTCATGATTTGACCATTTTTTTCTTTCAGATATATAGTTAATTTTGATCATTGACAATGGTTTTGAAGGCTGATTTTGTATGAAAACAACTTCTAAACTTGAAGCCCTCTATGTCTGTCAATCTCTAAAGAAACTAGAATTAATACTCGGCTTTTTCGTTCAAAAAGGGCATTTTTTTTATCTGTATTTTGTAACATTACCTGTGTGGTTTGATCGCAATAACATTCTCTCTTTAATTTAATTACTTTTGGACGCCAAAAGAACGAAGGCTGATATATATATATATATATATCTATTACTTTTGGACACCAAAACGAAGGCTGCTATATATATAAATAACACATATAACTTGCTTAATTTCCAAGACTTCAGTTCAAACAATGTAACAAACAAATTTGAGTTCAAGTTATAAATATATATATATATATATAAATTAGACTATAATTACTATTTGGATTGTTTCTCCATTTCAAACTTTTAATGTGGGTCAAAGAGAATTCATTATATTCTGCAAACAAACAAAACAAAACAAAGAACATTTATCAAAACCTAATAAATATTAAAGCGTACGTTGAAGTTTTCCAGAGAACTCAAGTTATATATAGAGGATAAAGAGAACAGAGTCAGAAACCCTTTTGCGAAGGTAATGTGCTAAATAAACTCACAAGGAGTTTGAGTTATATATTATGGGAACCACAAGAATTCCATCCATATATTACCAACTTTTCAAAGCAAAAACTCAGGGCTTTAATTATTAATAAATATTATTATTTTACAAAAATGTAACCTTTATTTTTTTTCTGGGTGCAGCAAATTAATTGCTCGGTGTTCTTTAGTATTTAAATTTTAGGATGTTGTTGGCAATTTTAAATTTGGGTTTAGCTGTTACACTTACCTTTTCTATTGTTTCCATTTAATATTTTGCTGTTTTGTATTGAATTTTAGGTGGAGATGAATGCTTGAGCTTTTAAATTAATGGGTTTAGCTTTTAAAGCCGTTGTGATTTTTTTTTTTTTTTTTTTTTTTGCCTCTGTACATATGTGTATAATATATGCATGTACATATATATCACTCTCTCTCTCTCTCTCTCTCTTTATACATCAAGCACAACTTAATAACACCGACTCTCCTCTAAAGCAATGAATGAAGGCAAAGGCCTTCGTCTGCCCTTGTGTAATTGCAATATTTACTCCAAATTTCCACTTCCTGCATACTTCTTGGGATTTTTTCCAACAATTAATACATTTCCTGGCCTCAATTTACATCTCCTTCTACTACCCAAATACTTCAATTCATCTCCTATCTCTCTCTCTCTCTCTACCTTTCTCTCTCCTCTCTTAAACTCTCTCACCCCATAATTAAATTAAGCTTTAAAGAATACCCATCTCCCTCCTCTCATTTCCCCTTATATATAATGGCCTTAAGAGGTCCATTCTCACCTACACCAATACCATGTTCATGGTCATACCATAGACACTCTTGTTTCAAGTTAGTCATCTCTCTCTCTCCCCCTCTCTTTGAGCCATCTCAGCTCACTTTTACATCCCTTTTCCCCTCCTAAAATCCAATTACACAAGTAAGTATTCCGCGCTTATTTGGCAACGTTTTTATTTTCCTATTCTAATTTTTTTTTTTTTTTGGTTTGGGAAAGAGATATCTCCACCGTTCATTTCACTTTTTTCTAATAAAAATAAAAAAACACATAACAAAGATGTCTATATTTGGCGCTTATTTTTTATTTCTAACTGAATTTTGTTTTTGTGTTTTGTACATGAAGGGTGTGGTCCGAAAACATTTTTGTACAACAAAGCTCACATATTCACATACTCGCTAGCTAGCTAAGCCATGAGCCGCCGCAACGGAAGCCGTCCGAAGCTGGACTTAAAGCTGAACCTGTCACCGCCGAGGGCCAATCCGCTGGCGATGGAGTCGCCGAGGCGATCAGCCACCGTGTCACCGTCGTCTCCGCAGAGCTCGTGCGTGTCCTCGGAGCTCAATCAGGACGACAGCCTCAGGTACTCCAACAGCCCTGAGGCCACATCAATGGTGTTGGTCGGATGTCCAAGATGTCTCATGTATGTCATGCTCTCAGAGGACGACCCCAAGTGCCCCAAGTGCAAAAGCACCGTTTTGCTTGATTTTCTCCATGACAACAACGCCACCACCCAAACTTTGAAGACAAGGAAGAGCTAGAAACATAAAATATATTATGATATATATTATAATTAATATCTCAATTTTAATTATCCTTGTCCCTTCTTTTTTGTTTAATGTTTGACCCCCTTTTCTCTTGTTTTTTTCTTTCTTTTTTTTTTTTTTAAATAAAATTCCTCCAGGGGCAGTGCTATTTGCGCTCCATTTTATTTAGGTCCATTGGAAAAAAAAAAAAAAAAAAAAAAAGAAGAAGAAGAAGAAGTTTTGGGATGTTGTTGAGGTGTGGATTGATGAAATGATCAAGAAGAAAGGATGAATGGAGCGAAATAGCACTACTTTTTTATTTTTTATTTTTTATTTTGTTATTTTTCCTTGCTAATCATAGGGAATAGAGGGGATTTGGGTGGGCAACATGGGGTTTTGAAGGGGTAATTTAATTATATATCTGTGTTTTGTTCTTTTATCCTCTCCTGGTTTTAGCTTTTCTCTTGAGCTGATATTTAGCTGTTTTTAGCAGAAGTACAATGTAAAACGTATTAACTGTAACTGCTTAAAATTTTCTCATCGATGTTATTAATGTTTGGTTATATTTTTTTGTCTTTATTCATTTCCCTTGCTTTCATTTTGGCATTTTTAAAAAAAAAAACCAAGTTAAATATTTCATCCAAATTAACAAACGGATTCCGGCCACATAGAGAAGAATATTACTAGGCACTTGAAAGTTCCGTTTAGTGTTTAATTAAGAAGTTCGCATAATGGTTGTATGTATACTATAACGGTTAAATATTTAACGTCTAATTCAAAAATCCACAATGAAGTGGATTTTCTGAACATGAGGTTTTCTGAAAAAGAGAAAAAAAAAAAAAAAAAAAAAAAAAAAAACTTATTTTTTTTTCGTTTGAGCAGATAGTGAAGTTGAACGGTACGACTTGGTGGAGCCATTTCTTTGGCCTACAATGCACTTGAATCACTAGGATGTCAAAATATCACACGGCTATTATTAGCTTTCATTTAATCCCATGTTTAATATTGGTGCCTAATTTCAAAATATGGAGAGAAATTAAAGATGATATATAATTCCGATTAAATAAAAAATGGTAAGATGTTTCGTTATAATAGAAATGACAAGATTGTTAAAATTAATTTGCCCTAAAATAGCAAAAGAACCTAACATGTGGGGGTAGAGTAGTGACGAGGACGTGGAATAGGTGACTTTTTGAACAAATTCAGATGTTAGATGTCACAAAGCTGAATTGCAAACTAATATTGTAACATTTTTTTTATGCATGTCATGTAAATGTAATTAAGTCTTTTTGTGGAGATTAAAATGAATTTATTTCGGGGAAAAAGTGGGGTAATTAGGTAAATTAGGAAGGGAGTTGGGTTTGGGTAGCTCAAGCATTGAAAAAAAAAAATGGAGGACTTACATTAGATTGAGAGATCATTAAAAACACATAAATGCAAGAGTAATTGAGACGGTTGACAATAATGAGGGTATTACGTCATGTGATAAATACAAATTTAATTCAACTTTTGTTTTATTTTTGTTTTAATTTATTTTCTTGAATTAGTTTGAATTTCGCATTCATCTTCTCAATGTATTATAAATCACTAAATGCCATATTTCTGTTAGGCAATCTCTATTTTGGCAACCCTCATAACTCAATTTCCCTCTTCTCTCCATGTTCGCCGAATTTAATTCTGA